ATGTTTTGTTCTAGAGTTCTTCTGAATATGTATGGTAAGTCCGGGGGTGGACGACTTCATTTGTAGTATCACAACACATGCATTATAGTAATCAAAGTACAAAAAACCATTGTATTTAAAAAGTATAAATATTTACATGTGTTTCAACATTGTATACTGAAACTAAATAGTTGTACAAAAGAAGAAGTCAAGACATAAATAGCTCCATCTTCTCAAAAGCTTGGGGTGTACCTGTCTACTGGTTCCCTGAGAATACAAGTAATTTAAAAAGAGAGAATCAACATAAAGTTGAGTGAGTGCATAAGTATTTATGTTTGGAAAAATGTTTTCTGTTTCTTGAATATGTAAACTGTTTCCAGAAAATCCAATATTTTCTGTTGTATATGAAAAGTAGTTTTTGTTGTATAAAACTGTTCTAATTGTAAACCAATGTTTTGTATTTGTAATATTTTTTTTAAACTTGTCTCTGAGAGTATATCTGGTTTCACCAACTGTTATTGTAAACTGTAATGTATTACTGTAAATTGTATATTGTAAACTAGTACTTTGAAAAAATACATAAGTTTAACGCTATGAGTGCGCTGAAAACATGTTGATAACAATTTGTCACTCACAGGCGTGTATGCATGATTGTAGCTAGCAGTCCGAGTGCGAGGTTGTCAATCCCAATATAGATGTATACACACATTGTTTTGATCCCCGGCTGGAGATTCTGGTTATAATGTCATGACTTTAACTATGTTTTTTAAAATAAATTAAACAACCTGAACTACTTGTCTCATAAAAGCATATAAACGTTACATGTATAATAGTTATGAAAACCTAATCATTCTGAAATAAATGATTGATATTATGTTCTTGAATTAGTATTCTTAACATGTATCTGAAAAATGTATACACTTGACTAGTTTTGAATCAAACCTTTGTTTTTGTAAAACAATGTATTCTAGTATACTTGAATCGTGAATTAATATTCTGTGAATCATAAATTATACCTATTATAATTTATAAGTACTTTCAGTATTGATACTTAGTATGAATAGAACCCCTTGCTCAACTTGTTACAAAGGGTAATTGAAACTAATTGAACAAACTTTTATACTTGTATACATATACAATTATATATAAGTAAAATTTAACTGACACTCGGACATATAACTGATGCTTATAATCCCACATCCAAACAAGGAAAATGAACCAAAGTGAGTTATCAGTCCTAAGCCTTTTAATTCTTATTTATATAAATATATGTATACTAGTATGATTTTTGGGAGAAATATAAGTTTATAAAAACTTTTAAATGAAGTTTGATATTTTGAAATTCATTTTGGTGACTTGATGTCATTTTGAAATAAGCATAGAAAATCATTTGATTTAATGATAACTGAAATCCATTTTGATAAGATATTTGAAAATCAATTGTTTATAACACAAAATCTTTGTGCTAGACTTGTATTCCCTCCCCCCCCCCTTAAAACAGTAAAAACTATGAAAATACGGGGGTATGAACTCACCTGTAGTAAGTTATTCAAATGTAAGGTCGGTGTAGGATGTTAAGTGTCAAGTGAAGTCTTGAACACAACGGATCCTATTAAACATATAATGATACATATATGGATATAATTAGTGTTTAAACAACTAATTATGTTAAGAAACCATCTTAGGGATTAGGAATCACTTAGATTGAAATGTTACAATCACATGTGATTGAATCAAATGGTTTTTACGGCCACTCCTTGGAGTTTACGGCCACACCTTTGGTGTTTACGGCCAAGGGAGTTTAAGGCCAATGGTGTTCTTCATAGGAGTTTACGGCCAAGGGAGATGTTCATGGCCTAAGAAGATCTTAAGTTTACGGCCAAGGGAGATGCTCATGGCCGTAAACTCTTATGTTCTTGGGAAATGGTTGTTTTCAAGGTTGTAAGTTAAGAGCTTCTATAGGAGAACTAGTATATGGAAGATTACTTACGTTTTGAAGCTTGAAGGGGGTGTTCACGGTCTAAAGAACTAGTGTGTTCTTGGTGTTCTTGAATATCTAACCCACAAGAGATGAATTCAAGGATGAAATCAAGGGGTTTTGCTAGATTAAGAAGGATATCAACTTAGGAATGGATGAATCACTTACAAATTTGGTGAGAATTAGAAGTGTTCTTGATGATACTTGAGAGAATTTGAGAGTTCTTGACTTGAGAATATGAGAAATGAAGGAAAAATGATGAATATATATATATATATATATATATATATATATATATATATATATATATATATATATATATATATATATATATATATATATATGTGAGGGTTCACGGTCCGAGAGTTTACGGCCATGAACCTCGTTTACGGTCCGAAGTCGGTTTAACGTTTACGGCTGAAGCCTCGTTTACGGCTGCGAGGGGTTTACGGTCCGAAGAGTGTACGACCGTAAACTCTTTGCGGCCCGAAGTGTTTGCGGTCCGAAGCGAAGTTTCTCGGATTTTCAAGCCTTTTTCCTTTCAATTTCAAATGTAGATATTTTAAGGATTTTAACAAATAAAGGTGATTATTATAACCTAAATTGAAACCCAAACACTAAAAAGGCTTTTAGTTGACCTCTGTTTGACTTTTATTTGACTAGAGTTGACTTTATAAATAGTAAATAACGGGATGTTACCTACACTCATGTGTATGGCCGTACACTCCCTCTGATGGAGTGTTCGGCTCGATTTCAACGTGAATAACTTTAGCTGACACATCCCTAAACCTAATGCTTGAATGTACTGAGCTTACAACCCTTAAACAGACTCTAAACAATGCTAAATGATAGCAGAAACGAGTCTGACACACTGTTGAACTGAATGACTGGACTTACGAGGCAAACATTTTCGGGTTGTCACAACTAAGTATAGTGAGCAAAACTCACCTCACAATGTCGAATTGAACTAAAAACCTCTGAATGATGACTCACCAAAAATCCCGAACTGTCACAATAAACGAATACTAATCAACAGTTGGAATATCAATCTTGGCTAAGGGCCCAAACATAGGGTAATAGTCCATTTTACCCTTTCCCTAATTTGGGTCAAGGCCCAACTCCAAATCCTTGATCCAAGGTCCAATACAAGGCCCATAATTGGCCCAATTTTCCAAATTGGGCCAAAATTTTGGCCTCATTCTAAGGTCCATTTCCATAATTGGCCCAAGACACTTCTTTTCAGAAAGTCCGGCAAGGGCCCAAACCAAACTGGCCCAAAGGTGGCCCAAATCCGAAGCCCAACTCGCAAAACCCAATAGAGGGCCTACGTTGGGTTTACCCTGAAGCTACACAGGGTATACGCAAGCTTCATATTTACTGGAAACGAGGGCGTTGACCGCGTACGCGAGGCGTACTCCCCCTTACGCGAGGCGTACACTCGCAGAGACCAAAACCTTAATAAGTGCTTAATGGCCCAAGCTTCCTAAGCTGCTCTATATGCAAGATCCAGCCTTTCCCTTATTTAAGCTTGCTTCCACTTCTTCCATTTTGCTAATACACCAACAATGAGGTATTTGAGGCACTCACAAACTCAAGAAACACACACAAAGTATATTAGGGTTTTAGGGATGCTTGAGAGTGATGGAGGCTGGCTAGGGTAAGGTCCAAATGACTTAAGGGTGTTTAAATAGGTCACAAGTCCAAAAATTAGGGTTTTGGCCATCTGCCATGTACGTCCTGTGTGCCCTCTCGTACGCCCCACGTACATGGTGCACCTTCGTGATCATGAAGTACGCTAAGCGTACTCTTAAGTACGCCCATCGTACAAAAAGAGTCCATTTTTGCAAAATAAATTCATTTAAAGGGAAAAGAGTGATTACATGGTTTGGAGTCTTACAATATTTAACATATATAGACAATAAAAAAATATCGCCTACCATACAACTCATAGTGGACAAGCTTGTAAGTAAATTCTTTTAATCATTTATATCTAAGTAATTACTCTCACTGGTTTGTTGTTTTCGTTAACAGGTCGATGTCCAGACTCAAATATCTGAAGGAGATTTGGTGCTCAGTCCAGGAGAGGACTTGTTGAGAAAGGTAATAGGATCGGAGCACCCAATGTTGACAAAGGTACCAGGGCTGTAGGTCATGATGTTGGCTTGAGAAAAGGGATGCAAGGGACTGATAAAAAAAGAGGAAAAAACATGAAAAAGAAACTACTGATAAGTTGCAGGCAACGATAGATCTGATGGGCTCCCAATTGGCAAAGTTACAAGAACATTTTGACATGCAGCAGGGGTCTAGGAACCATTCCTCGGATGATTTAAGCTTAGGGGTTCAACAAAATAATCGTGGCTCAACTCCAACATTAGCTGCTTTGGATGCGATAAAGGTAAATGAGTGTATTTATGTTCCAGTAACATCTAGAAACAATAAAAACTAAACCTGTTAGTAGAGAAATTATGCTTATAACTAGGGATGAGCAACAAAACTGAGTACTAGTGTTTTTCTAATCATTTTTTAGTGATAATATACTTGTTTAACTGATTTAACTAATATTTTTTCTTGGGTGTTAAATATTGTTTGATTCCATATCATCAGAAGTGGTACTGTATTTATTTGTTTATGTATTTATTTGTTTATTCTTATATTTGCACAAATTATTTTATTATAATATTTATGTTAAAAGATGCAACATTGTAAGAATTGTGTTTGAGTTTACCTTAATATCATCATTTTGGTTGTATAATTGAGACAAAATACTCTAGTTTTTTAATTAAAATGTTTTGTTATAAGGGTTTGAACTATAATTGATATACTTAAAATGGTTAAAAATTCAAATATAGTTATTACATTATTATGTACTTTTTTTGTTTATTATCCTTCAAAGATCTTTTATTCTTATTTTTGTTTTACTATATGTTTACAGATGCCTACCCTTGTGAATTGGTGTTACCTTATGGGGAGTTAGACCAAAAATGTGCCAAGGGATTGGTCTTTCCATATGGGAATGGGTTAATAGACGACATCTATTGTAGATATGAAAATTTTCCTGGAGGTTCTAATAGACAGCATCGATTGTAGATATGAAAATTTTTATGTTCCTGTGATGACAAAAGAAGTTGCTAACCTACAAGGGGCGGTTGGCACTATAATTCCATGGCCCCGGATTGCAATTATTCTCGTAAAGGTACATATGCATTATCCTCTACTTTTTAAGTTACTATATAAATAATAAATTATAATTGTATGTGATAGTCAAATGAATTAAAATGTAGGAACAAAGAACTAAGAAACAAATTCCAACCACAAGTTTGGTGCCAACAAATGCAAGGGCTGGTACAAACAAGAACATACCCAACCAAACAGCCAGCATGGCAAGGCCGATTGAATATCTTCGTGATTGCTTGAAGACCAACCCAGTGGTTAACATTGTATCCGATTTTGGGATCTTAGAAGTCGGGAAATATGATTTTTCGGTTACAAGTGAAGAATATTTTCGATTGTTGAGAAAAAAAACAACCGATGCTTCCATCTTGACTGCTTGGCAACTGTAAGTCCATTAAAATTTTGCTATTATTAGTTGACCATAACATTTTTTGTTTTCTTGTTTGTAGGATTCTTCATTCAATGGTTCGGACACATATGAACAAATGTGCTTTCTTGAACCCTTATAATATTGATATTTCCATATTTATACATGTTTTTAGGCAATATTTACTTATATTATTATTAATATTATTGTTATATGCATTGAATAATGGTACTTATAAGGTTAAAATAAATATTGCAGCTAAATAGAAGACATTTTGAAGAAAAGGGACTAAAAGCATCAAAAGACGGAACTTTGGAAGATGAAGACTTAAAAAGAATAAAAATCCAGCGAATTCACGTACTCGCGACGTGAATATTTAGGATTCACGACGTGAGTTAGACTTTTCCAGAAGATAAACATCGCGGAGGAGGAATCCTTGTAGAACACGGATATCTACTGAATTCACGTCGTGAGTCATACTCATTCACGACGTGAGAGCGAATTTTATGATAACTATATATTCTCTTGATCATTACGACTTGAGGGACTTTTGGCTAACTGGAGGAGTTTCTGGAGACGAAATTCAGAGGGAGAAGAGGTCTGGAATAGGCTTTCAAAACCAAGGAAGAAGGAAGAGTTCATTATTAGCTTTATAGTTTGGCACATTTAGCATGCTTTTAAATATGACTTGTGCTTGTTTATTTGCTAGTATGTCCAGCTAAATCTAGCTACTTCTATTAGCTAGATGAAGCTGGAACTCATGGTGTTAATACTTTAGATTTGACTTTACTTGTTGGTTATGACTTGTGTTTGATTGATTGAACCTAGCATGTTTGATTTAATATTTGTTTGCTTTAAATTCTTGTTCTGTGTAGTTAATGAATATAAATCTGCATGAATTTGAATACCTAATATTTCAGTGAACACTAGGTTATTAGAGCTAAGATCAAACCAATCTTAGATAAGTAATTAAACTATTGAACTAAGTTCTGCTAGAGAACTCATATTATGACCGTAAGTGTGTTTTTCAAATCAATCTTACATGGCTCCAATTCCATTTAATAATTGATTATGTGTTAACTATTGTGTGACCATACATAGATTTACATGAATTAATTAATGTTAGTAAATTTAGAACTGAATTGCTAATACTATCTTAATTGGTAACCAATAGTAATTGTCATAACTAATTTATAAACCATTGAGGGAAAGCGGATTCGAACTAACAGAAGTGTTTGTTAATTGATTGAATTTTTGTTAAAGAATTAAGTTCTTCTAAGCTTGCAAAATTAGATAAAACCCCTTCTTTTATTAGAAAATTAGGTTAATTTAATAGTAGGTAGATTAATTAATTAAAATCGTTCCCTGTGATCGACACCCGACTTGCCCGACTATTCTATAATTTGACTAGGTACACTGCCTAGGTGCAATTTAGTTAGTTAAGTTAGTTAGGTTATAAATATAAAATTAGGTGTAGCTATATAGGTATAATTTGCACACATCAAGTTTTTTTCGCCGTTGCCGGGGACGACTTATTTAATTGTTGATTTATTTGCTTTAAATTAATCGATCCTTTTTGTGGGGTAAAACCTGCAAAAAGTTATTTTTAGTTTAGTTTATTTTCTTCCAGTATTGAATTCACGACGTGAGCTTTATTGGCTCACGTCGTGAATCCAGTAAATTTCAGTTTTCTTTGTTTTTCTGTTTTAGTTCAGTTTTACTTTTTTATTTTTGTTTATTTTGCAGAAGTTCATGACCAGAGGCTCTAACACACCTTTGGTGCCACCACTTGAAGATCCAGAGTCAGCCCTTCACAAGAAGACGTATATGAACGCATGAGTGAGCGAAACACCAAAAAAGTCATCTTTCAAAGACCTCAAGTCAGTCTTTGGAAAGAAGTCGGGAAAGAAAGTGGGAGAGTCGAGTACATCATCAAAGGAAAAAAGCAAGATAGAAAGCTTTGAGCAAGATCCCAACCCAAAGGATATCGAATACGATACTGAGCCTGAATTTGCATTACATATAAGTGAATCTGAAGACGAGTCTGATAACGAGATGGCGGATATTGCGGATATGTCCATGGGAGCTTACAAAAATCGAATTAGAGATGATACTGGTCTTAGGCTAATACAACCTGCAATTCCTGCAACTATCCCATTCGAACTGAAAGGACACATCCTTACTGTACTAAGGGATGTACCATTTTTTTGGAAAGGATCATGAGGATGATTACAAGCATTTGGATGAAGTAAATGACATAGCAGATTATTTCAATATTTCAAATGTTCCAAGAGAGACAGTCTTGCTGAGGATGCTACCAGTCACTTTTAAAGGAGATGCTAAAGACTGGCTAAAGGCACTACCACCCGGTGCAATCACTACTTGGGTCCAAATGCGCGAACAGTTTTTAGATCATTTTTGCCCACCTTCCAAGATAGCTAAACTCAAAAAGGCAATAGCAAATTTTGAGCAAAATCCGGGTGAGTCAGTTTATGAGGTATGGGAGCGCTATAAGGGATTGTTGAGAAATTGTCCTCAAAATGACCTCAATATACAACAATAAGTGCCAATATTTTATGATGGTGTTAATGCCATGACAAGGAAACTCCTTGATTCTCAAGGACCACTTACTAAGAAAAATCTGGGGGAAGTTAAGGAGTTAGTTGAAGAATTTGCAAAGCATTCTCGTGAGTACCACAATTCAAGAAATGAGGGAGTTAAAGGAAGCGGGGGTGGAAATTCTGCAGACATGGCTGTTGTAATGGCCATGCTTGATACAATGGATAGGAGAATGACAAAAATGGACCAAACAATACATGCTATAAGAGTTGGATGTGAAAGGTGTAATGGTCCACACTTGACTAAGGATTTCAACTTAGATGATAGTGGGTATAAAAAGAATCAAGTTTGCTATTCGAGTGAGGATAAATATGATGAAGATTGGAGAAAACCAAAGAAGGAGTGGCTGCCATATGATGAATACAAGAAGCAAAAAGAGGAGAAATATAAGCAGACAGGCCGAGGCTTCTATCAAAAAGAGCAACCACCAGCCGAGAAGAAAGTTGACTTGGAAAACATGTTGACCCGGTTTATGGAAGCTTCCGAGAAAAGGCATCATGATACTGATGCAGTGCTGAAGGAACACATGAAAATGATGACAGAACAACAGACAATGATGATTGACCAGCAAGCTTCATTAAGAAATCATCAAGCATCGATCCATAATCTCGAAGTCCAAATTGGTCAACTAACTACTTTGGTGAGCAACAAATTATCCTCACGATTTCCCGAAAAGAATGCTCAATCCCATGTTATGATGATCGAGACTGAAGAAGAGGCCATCTCTGAGTTCCTAGAAGCATTAGAAGTGGAGCCAAGGCAGCCCGAACCAAAGCCGAAGAAGTTAAAGATCGAAAATCAAAATTCTACTGAAACACAGAATTCACGACGTGAGTCTTATAAGCTCACGACGTGGGATCAGTCTGAACAGAAGAATTCAGCGCCGATTCCGGCTTATCGTCCGCCTTTACCGTTTTCGTCCCGAGCTAATCTTAGTCCATTGGAAAGGGAGGATTTGGAGTTCATAAAGCACGTCAAGGGTATTCCTATAAATACTCCTTTTGTTGAGACGTTATAAAAAATTCCCAAGTACGCAAAGTTCCTACAATATTTGATAGACACTCGTCAACATATGAAGAAAAATTCCAAGGTTATTTTAAATGAACAAAGTTCAAAAGCAGTGCTGGGAGAGTTACCTAAGAAGATGGGAGATCCTGGACGCCTCACTCTTCCATGTGAGTTTGGGAATAATATGAAGATGTATGCTTTAGCCTATTCTGGGGCTAGCATAAATTTGATGCCTTATTCATTTTATCAGAAGTTGAAGGCTACAGAAATGACTATTCACATGGCAAACCGTTCAGTGACACAACCCCGGGGCATTGTGGAAGATATTCTAGTGAAAATTGGGAAATTCATTTTTCCAATAGACTTTGTGGTTTTAGATATGAAAGAAGATCCCGATGTTCCGATTATTCTTGGTCGCCCATTACTTAATACTGCTAGAGCTTTGGTTGAAATACGCGAATCCAAGCTCACTTTGAGAGTTGGAGATGAAAAGGAAATTTTTGGAATTGAAGAAGGTTTCAAGGGAAATGATGTTCAAAATGAGGTTTGTAACATTGATGAAGATGATGAACTTCGGGAATTAGAGAAGTTGATGGAAGAAGAGATTAAAACAATTCAACAAGTCAAACGAAAAAACCAAGAGCATCTGTCCCGTTTTTAGTTGAAGTCATTGCCTACACAAATCCAACTTCTTGGGTAAGTAAGGAAAGCGATGAATTATCGAGTGACGAGGGTGAAGATGAGGTTACTTCAAAAGAAAGGAACTTAGTTGTGGATGAAAAATTGGTCCCTATAGTGCACGGAAATAAAGGGACCAAAAGAAAGCTCGATGTTAATGAAATCAAAGCTAAAAAGGAAAACTCGAAAAAAGCGTATAAAAGACGAGTTCAAGCTTATAAAAGGCGATGGAAGGAGCAAAGAGTTCAGGTGGTGATGGACGATTGAACGTAAGGCGGCACGGAGTCCGGCTCACGAATCTATAAAAAAGAAGCGCTTCTCGGGAGGCAACCCGAGCCCAGTTTGATTTTCTTTCTAGTTTTTTCTGTTTTTAGGAAAATTATTCATCTCATCGTGCTAGTAATCTTATGAATGGTAAAACATTAAGTGTAGGGTCCCTGAATTAAGTGGTAATTAATTAAGATTTATAGTTAATAAAAAATTGGATGTATTAAATGAAAATCTTATCAGACCAAACTCACGACGTAAGCACGTATGCCTCACGACGTGAGTTCAGAAGTCACTTACGATCACTATTCTGTGTTAGCCCAATAAGTATGTAAATCCATTTGCTGATTTATTAGATGGCCCAACTGACTAGCCCAAGACACCTCACGACGTGAGTCGTTAAAAACTCACGACGTGAATTGTGAATTACACGGGACCACAGATAAAGGA